TCATGTTACTGCATTGCCTATTTGCCTATTATTTAGAACCACAACGCTAGCATGGCTGAAAACCATAGCCTGGATAAAAACTCACCTTATGTTGGGGCCAATATTTCAAATTTGAATTTTATTTGCTGATAAAGACTGTAATAATGCACACCTCTGTACCAGGTTTGATTGATTGAACAGATTGAATGGGTTTTGTACAGTTTTCATTGGATTACACTTTCTCAGACCTCCAGGAGGTTAATGGTGTGACACATCTGTTGAAATGTTATTGGCACTGACGCAATAAAAGCATTGTTGCCTTGTAACAATGGCTGTTATACCTGCATGTTAGTTGGTCACAGATTTCTCTCACTGCATGAAATGTAATCTAAGGATAAATCAAGTGGTGGAAGTCATCAGTCTTTTCAATATATATACATTTTATTTCATGTATCGCACAACAAAAAAAAATTATTATTAATTACTTTGTGATTAAACACATCAAAGTTCATGTCATTAATATCATCAAACAAGACAACTATATACTTATTTCTTCAGCATTTTCATGCTTAAACAGAAACTTCCCACATACAGTATGTATGAGCTCAGACTCTTGATGTGTTTGTACGTGTGTGAAAAACCTTAAAAATTTAAAATATTAAACAAAAGGAATTATAAATGAGTCTACATGGCACATCAGTTTTTGTTTACATCTAGTTTCTTAAATCCTGTTTGCAGATATTTCTGCTGAGTTATACAATTCTGTATGTTTGTGTATATCTTTACTGCAGAACTCATGATAGCATCATAAATTAATGTAGGCTTGGAAGGAAACTGAGTTGAACAGATTTAGTTTTTTACTGGTCACTTAGCTACTAAATAGTTTAGTCAATAGTGTGAGTAACCTGGCTTAATATGCCTTTACACAGCTTTATTGTGGAGAATGTTAGAGAGAAGAAGAGAGGTAAGAGGTTGACGAGGGTGACGGGTAGATTTAAAGCAGTGGATTCCGACAAATTGATTAGTATGCTCTGATCCTCTTGAAAAATATGACATTAACTGGATCTATAAGCTGAGAGCTGCCTCAACTAGGACAGTGTTGTGTGAGTCCAGGCCAAAACACAGTGTCTATACAAGCATAAAATTAGAATGGAAGGGGTTTAGGTGTTATATTGGCCATGATTACAAAGCCAGGCCCGCTTTGTTGCTTCAGCATCTAAGCCTCTTTTAAAGCCAGGAAAAATCCAGAATGGAAATTGCACTCAATGCATTGGAGAACACATGGCGTGTGGCAACACCTGCACGCATTTACCACAAGGCATCATTAGAAACAGTTAGGAAAACACATTTAAAAACTTGGTTTGCAAAAGTTATAATTATGCAAGAGCCTGGGGGAGAGGCACAGACAGTGGAGGGGTGTACAGTAACCGGCTGCAGTGTTGGGAGGGTTGTTTCAGTGATTTGACGTCCCTGGGGTGACAGTGTGCTGACGTTTTCGGTTTATTTTTAACAGTTAAATGATTAAACCAGGAGGCCAGGTTGAAGGTTATGACATTTTGTACCATGGATTGCTAAGCTAGTGTGAGACTGGCCCTGCTTACATTTAAGCCCTTGGGTTTTCTCATGGATGAAGTGTGCTCTTTTATAAATACTAGTGCAGTGCCTGCTCGAAGGGTGCCTGCTTGGCCTCCGCTGTTGCTTCATGCAGCGCTCTCAATATGATCGACCTGCAGAGCCGGAGAGCCCCCTGCGGTTCCAGACCCACCGCTTTAGACGCTCTGCAGGGCGACCGTTCTCAGCTTTCTCAAGAACCGCTCTTTCAAAACTACTTCAGGCTCCGACACTGGACTCTCCAAATAGCTGGTATATTCGTCCAATCACTCGACTTTAAACCTGACATTTCAGGTGAAGGTAGGGACACATTTAACACGACTGTTAAGAGACGTTGTGTCAGATAAGTCATGTTTCTCCAGCCACGTCATCAGTGAGTTCACTGGTCATCTACATTATTAATATATACAAAGAAGGGCCTCTTATAAAGTGAAGTACTGGCAAACAATCACCCCACCTTTCCCACACCCTAAACAGCACACGGTTAAAATAAAATACAAAAAATAAAATAAAGAAATAATAAATACATTTTGAGAATATATATATATACTACATACCTAGTTGATTTAGTTAGCAGGTGATGAATGCTTGTATATTTACCTTAAAGTGACTATTTCTCTAAGTCTGTCTAATTTAAAATGTTGTAACACGTTGTAGTGGTGTAACAACACATTGGTCTGGATCAATATATTTATATCAGTGTTCAACAATCAAATATATCAACACAAAATTAAAATATTACTGCTGTTTGTTGATTTTAGAGGCAAAGACACACAACAACCCTGTTTACATCAGCAGAGCTGAGGTGGATATTAATAATTTATCTTTATTTGTATGACTCATTAATCAATTTTTCTTAAGTAGCATAAAGGGAACTATATCTGGATTTAATCATACAACCTTGTGTTCTGAGTTACAATAAAATATCATCATGTATATATATAGACAAGACATATGCCAAACAAAGCTGTAACAAGATTAAATAATCTGGAAATGTCTGCATGAATTCGACAATAACATTTTCAAATCATATTTAAGTAACTGTGTTAATGGGCATAAGTGATATCGTCTCATATCGACCGCAGGCCTCTGAATCTAATCCAAAGAACTGATATCATATTTGTGATTAATAGAAACTAAACCCATAAAATCAGCTGGTGATTCGGATCAAAGTGGAACTGTAACAGTATTTTAAACTCATGAACATAAGATCTCTTCCTGTGTCTAAGTGCATCGTCCATCCTCTGGGTGTCCTTATCTACACACAGTAAAGTACATTTAATTAATCGGCAGGAAACAATTATGATAAATGGATTAAATCAAGTTATTTATTCAACGAACATTTACTGTTTATTTCTTCTCTGTTCTATATATTGTACATTAAAGAACCTGCATCTATATGGGTTTTGTACAGTATATTATTATATTATATATACTGTCAATGCTTTGTGTCTTAAAAGTGAGAAACAGGAGCGACACCGTTTGACATACAGGACCAGGCATGGGCGCAACAATGTGACTCTGGAGGCTCGTGCAGCAACTTCTCTGCATATATATAGACAGTTTCTGGCTTCAGGATCAGACCTCGTGCATCCATTAGGACCTGAACTCACATTAAAATGGTCTTATCTAGCGTCCATTAGCAGCAGACGTAATCACAGAGAGAGAGAGAAGAGAATCTGCCCTCACAATCTTCACCTCTATCACCGAGCAGGCTGAAGCTGCCCCCTACATCTACTCCATCCTTCACGGCACTCACAGACTGCTGTTGTCTCTTAGCAACACCTCCAGGTAAATCGATGGAGGGGTGGGGGGGCGACAGAGAGATGAATGAAGAGGGAGGAGGTGGGGTGGGGTGTTGTGGTGGGAGTGAGAGGACAAAGGGGGCGAGGAAGGAAGAAGTGGAGAGAAGAAGGGCAAATAGGTTTCAAGTGTTTGAAGTAAAAAAAAAGGAGGAGACCGGAGGGAGGGAGTGTAAGGAGGGAGGAGAGGGGAGGAAAGTAGGGAAGGATGCTTAAATGTCAATGTCAAAAAAAGTGCAATTTAATGTCATTTGGGGATTAAAATGTCAACCCGATAAAGGAGGAGACCACATTCTGAGGCGTAGTGGCACAGTTACTTGAAAATACTTTTCACAAAGAGTTTGGTTATAAAATATACAAGGTGCACTGACCTGGAGCTCTGACTTCAAAGTGGATGTCATACATCTTTACTGTAACTTTTATTACACTATATATACTATTATTATAATGTAAAAATCAATAAAATATAATAATAAACTCATATAATGCTGCCCTACAGAGCTCACATATCACTCAACCGACCTCCAACAGAGGCGGCACATTGTGAGGCAGGTCAGCGGCAACAAAGCATCTCTGGGCCGGGCAGAGAGAGATGTAAGAGCCGATGGCCTCCGACACCAGCAGCAGACACTGGAGAAGGAGGAGGAGGAGGAGGAAGAGGAGGAGGGGGATGCCTCTTCATCATTAACCACAGCAGCAGCAGCAGCACTCTTTAAACCGAGCTTTGCATCCACTGAAAAACATTAGCTGCATACATTAGAGATGCGTTTAAAGGCTCACCTCGCTGTGCCGGCGGTGTCTCTGGCTGAAACAACCCCACAACCAGCGCTGCTTCCTCAGCCTCGCTCGCTGCTGATCTCGGGCATCTCGCGGTTCTCCTCGCTCGTGGTCACGTTGTCTGAACCGAAACGTGTGTTGGTTTTTTTGGGGGGGGGTTTCTTTTTGCAACGTGAATTTAAAAGGATGAAGAACAAGACGTTAGCTGTGCATAAAACGACTGGTGGCACCAGATGATGAAGAGGCTAAAATACAAAAAAAAAAACCCTCATAACCCGCTCGCTGAGTGAGAGTGAGTGATGAGGAGGCGTCCAATAATACAGGAGGAGGAGGAAGAGGAGGAGGAGGAGGACCGTGGACTGTGCCCTCCAGGACGGCCCTCGGTGAGCAGGAGGCGGCGTCGGTTGGTGTCTTCCTGGGAGGGAGGGACGGTCCTCGTACACCCCGGCGGCCACCGCTGTCCTGGCTACAACTTCCTGCCTCACCCTTTCACAATTAAACATTCTGTGTGGGGTTTAAAACAGTTAATACTAATACTACTACTACTACTAATAATAATAATAATAATAATAATAATAATAATAGTAATAATAATAATAATAACCGC